TGAGCGTGGAATTATTCTACTACCAGAAAGATGGCAAAAGGTGTTGGACCAGAACGGTCAATATATAAATAATTTAATAAAGTATTTGTTTATTATACGAAAACTGTCTTTCATTTCCACAAAAAAAAAACGAAATGACTTTCCGAACAACCCTATAGTTCTCTTAATTATTTTAAATGATGAATTTTAATGAATTTATTATCATGTTTTAGCATCTCGTTAGTATTAATGAGTCTGATATTTTATGGTACTTATATTCCTACTTGAAGGAAGCAATGGTTGGTTGGTTCTCTGATTACGGTTCGGGTTTTAGTTTCGCCACCACGGTGGTAGGTTCTTGGGATGAGACCCGCAGACTGGGCAGTTCCGCCTTCTGACCCAGACAGATACGGACGCGGCTAATGTAAGTTTGTGCCACGATTACAAGTACTTCAGTATCAATTACAATGTCATTACGTCATCGTAATTTACAACGTTTCGACTCCTACGTATCAATAAACACACAATAATCATATGTAATCGTTAGCCTTCGAAATAACAAAATTTGATAATTACAATCAAAAAATGGATCAAAAAACAACAAGTAATGCAATGAAAATACTTAAAAAAGGTTATTAAATTTCCCTGTGGACATTTAGGAACGTAAAAGTATTTAAATGTTTCCTAAATTTTCTTTTTTTTAATTTTAATGTACATTAATTTGAAAATTGTTAGGTATGGAATCAAACAAGTTGTGCCTTAATCATTATTTTATGTTGCTACTAGGTCAGTAGATGCAAATACTCATTTGTATTACCACTGCTGTTGTTTAAAGTATGAAGCGCTTTTACTCATTCAAAGTGCAGAATAAAATACCAAATTAATGGTTAAAAAGAATGCAAATATTTTCTGTACACGTACGGCCTCAAATTTAAACTTTATTCATATACTTTATTCCTATTTTAATCAAATCTGTACTCATATTAAATACTTCCCTTACTATTTAGGTTTTCAAAGCTTAAGTTAACATATTTGTAAAAGTGTGTAAATTACTTCTTTAACACGCGTATAAAACAGCACGTTTCCACGTTAATTAGCCACTGATTTGATAAGAATTAGTACATGAGCATTGCGGTCACTATGTGACATGAATGAAAGTGTATTTGCGCTGTGTAATAACGGAACCGAAGCCAAATTTGCATTTTTTTAAAATCAACTGAGACTTTTCAAACAAACGCCCATTTAGTACTTGTAACTGACACGGATAAGCCAAACAGTCAAACGCTTTAAACTGGAAAAGTAGCGTAATTATATAATTAGTAATATCACAATTAATTAACTGATTGCTCGGCCAATCGACATCAAATATCAATGGCAACAAGTTTTTGTCTTAACTGTTTAAATATTCCAGTAAAAAGTACATAAAATTAGTTAATTTACATAATTAGAAAATCTAACTGAAAGATAAACCATGCCAATTTTAAACCTACAGAAAAAGGGGCAAAAAGGGCTTAACCAACCGCTCTATGTGACCAAAAGGACCTTCATTGGGTTCTTCCTTGTCGCTAGAATAACTTTTATTTGAGTCATTTTTTTCTAATCGTCCTATTTTCGAAGTTATTGCCGATAATGTCGGAGACTCCAACAGTGCGTCAAGCGACGAACCCGATCTACTTATATTATTAAAGACGTTTAAACTACGACCGATGAAAGAAATATTACGGAAATCTTTTACAGGTATTTAGTGGGTATCTTATAGTAGTTTACCCTTTAATAAAAACTGAAATTGGAATTAAATTTAAAAAAATAACCGAACCTTAACGATTACAAATTGGGTAATCGTAAAACAAATACAGGTGCAAATTTAACGTGTGCAATTGCATTCGTATATAACTTGGTGTTATTTACAGTATTATATGTATGTGTTAAGAAAAATTACAATAAATACACTTACCTCAATATTTTGTACAGTTCATGTAACATCACAAAACAGTCACTAAAAACTTTTGCATATTAATTTAACGAAATAAACATAAAAATGCTCAAAGTGAATTAATAATTGTATGCAGTACATCATTTTACAATAACATCTAAAGCATTATTAGCAACAAACAAATAGATAATCAAGTAGCAAAAGTGTATCAATTCTGATTTTACTTTCAGAATCACACAAACGAATCAATTCGTCCTAATAAAAATAACAGAAGGATATATAATAAAACATGTAACAAGAAACTGTAGTCATTATAAATTGTACGCAGGTATTTAATTTACGTTAATAACTACAACTTAACGATTGCTATTTTGTAAATTCCTTAATTATCTCCGTGATTTGTACCACCATTAAAACATAGTAACTCAACCTACTGACAATTATAATTATCGCATTACAATCTTCGGAGAGTAGATGTTTTATGCGTTAATGACCTTAAACAATTTATACGCAAAGTTGAATGAGTAGTTCTAAATAATAAACCTAATAATAATGTTAATATCTAATGGACAATCTCTGAGGAGCAGGCAGATGGGATGTAGGAACCGTTAAGTTAAACACTTTCTAATTTTTAAGAAGCACACAAATTTGACAATCGCAATCTTTTTAGCTGAATCAACAGTAAAAAATTGTGTCAAACCCATACTTTATACATACTTTTACTGCCCTTTGTGTCAAGCTACATGATTACATTTTATCTTACGAATTGCAAAGCGAACTTTTGTTATTTGATTTAAATTTAGATAATCTCTCCACAAAACTTTATAAGTTATAATACTAATAAATAATAACCACAAGCACAGTTTCTTTGTACATAAATATGAGAATATGTATTGCTTTATCATTTCCGGCTTGTTATTATTTTAAAGTCTGAAAAAATTTTACTTATTATTCTCTATTTGTTCTGTAAATTAAACTGAGGTGCGGTGAACAGTCTATAATTGAACGAACAAATACAAATTTGAAATGACAATAAGGTCAGCACTATAAATAAAGGTTAAAAAAGAATGAGAACGCGAGTAAACAACAAAATAAAATTTATTGTTTCCAAGAAAAATTTAAGACATTTGTACTACAACTTTCTTAAGGAAGACCCTAAGACAACGGTTTCAAACGTTTCCCTTTTTCGAGAAGAAATTGTTGCCCCCCCCCCTCACCCCCCTTAAATTTTCGTAACAATCTAATTTCATAAATACCCACTCGAATACTTGTTTTATTTACATTTAGCATTTCCTTTTTGTATTTGAAAATAATACACCTGCGCGCCCCTTTGCAATAGTCTCATACACACCCATAAGAAACAAGCCCCACAGTCACTGTCCCATAAGTAGCACAATAATAAGAATATATATTGATAATTTTAAGATAAAAATTGATTCAAGACTGCTGTGTTCCAGATATTAATTACGATTCTTTTCCTTAACTCCAATGTTTTTATTGTTTGTTTTGGAGAGATCACAAGACGCATCTTTGCCAAAAAAAAATAAATAGAAGGATATCTAATACAGCAAGTACAAATTATTCAAATAAATTTTCTTAATTTAGTTCAGAGGTGATAATAATTAATAATAATTATGGTGTATGTAGACAACTAATGGTGACATTCATGATCCCCAGAACGCTCCCTTGATGTAGATATTGAGAAAATACCTTTTCAAATTATTCAAATGTGTAAAGAATAATGAAGGCACTTGAGAGAAGGACAAGTTGCAAATGACTTTATTGAAGAGTTCGTGTAAGCGAATGGTTCGGAAAAGACTAAAGTGATTCCAACAAGTTCCATGTTAACCATAATGGAAAGAACTGCAAGAAGAGGATGAAAGAGGTAAAAAAGTGTTCCCAATAAATGACTCGACTCATTAAAAATAGTAGGTAGCAATGTCAAGAAAAGAACCAGAAGAATGAGCATTGCGGAGCAAGGAGGAGAGAACGTGTATGATCCTGGTGCAAATCCTGGTCGAATACCCGATATACGTATAGGTTTGTGTGTATTTGCACAGACATTACATAGAGTAAAGAAACATCAACCTGAGGCTTTGCTTTAAGTCAAGGTCAGTTGACATTCCGACCTCCTTACTGACCCACAATAAGTTTCACTTCCTGATCGGTGGCCTCTTCTTTTTTACCATCAAATCAAATCATCGCTCATCGCATCACCGTCGCAAAACCACTTGTTATCTCTCTCGTCACGTCTGACACAGACAGCCAGGTGCCACCCATGTAACAGATCCAACGCCATGGGTCTTATTAAGACGAAAAAAATTTAAAAAGTGACGTCAAAAAACCAAAGAATACACACTGATCAAAATCACGCTCCTATTTTAAATTTTTCTCTGAATTTCTCCTAAACATCTGTCACAATTTCGATACTCATCAACCAAAAAGTAATTTACTAATTTAATACTTAGCTAATTAATTCTTTACGTCAATCGAAATATACAAGGGAGTGTCAGAGTTAAAGTTCAAAGGTCTGATTGTCTTTCGTAAAAGAACAAAAAGCCAATTACAGTACCTCAATGTAGTATATAACCAATACAGGCATAAAATAGCAGCTATCCAAAAATATTTACGACTTATATATTGCTTTAATAAAATTATAGAGGTAGGTCCATTTAATGGTACCCTACAAAATTTCAACACTACTTATGCAGTATTATAATAAGAAATAAAGCAAAAACAACAAACCCAACGATTTACCTTTCACATCTAAAATAATTATGACCCTTTATCCTCAAAATGTTAGTCTTAGATACCTTTGCTCAATCGAAATTTTGAGGGGTGAAAATAAATTTATTAAAAGATTATTCATTCGAATCGCTGTAGAAGTAGACGTTTTAAATGAAAATCTCTCTCCAAAAAGAAAGGCTTTCTTTATACATGAACACTGACAAGAGTGAACCACCAATTGCATATTAAGTTAAGGATCGTGTAAGCTGAACTCATCCAAATAACCAGTGAGTATATACCTAAATGAAGAAAACTTCAATGAGAAATGTTATGTTCAACTTCTTCTTCTTCATTTGTTTTGACAACCATTTAGAGGTTATTATAAACAGTTTCATATTTTCAAATACTAATTTGTATATTTATCAACTGGTGCAATAAATAATAAAATGGTAAATATTCTTTTATTAAAATTTGATTTTATTAATATGTTAACAACTATAATATGCAGGCTTTGAGTGGAGCTGAAAAGAAGAAAATGGGTATAGAGCTAGAAAATCGAAAGAAATGGGAGACAGTGGAAATTGAAAGATTAAATATTGATAATAAAAGCAAATACAGAAATTTTCAAAGATGCATGGATCGGCAACAAAAGGACCAACAGGACGACGACGATAGGAAAAATAAAATTACCAAAGATTTAAAACAAGAACAGGATATTAGAGATCAACAGCTTTTGGCAGCTGAATTAAATAAAATAACTCAAGATGAGATGTACCAGTTAAGAAGAAGGTTAGTATGTGAGTTTCAACATTTTTGTTATAAATCACCAGTGACAAAATTCATCTAGACAAATCCTTCGCAATATGGAGCCTGAACTACAAGAACTAGCTGCAAGATTAAAAGCAGCCTATGTACAAAAGGCAGTAACAGTTCAACTAGCTGAAAAAGAAGCCCAAAGGCTGGACGAAGAGGTATATCTATTATTTACCAAAAGAGAAAAATACTTCACTACATATTTAAAATTTATAGGTAAAAAAGAAGCAGGCAAGAGATGTAATGCTGGCTGCTGTAATAACAGATGAAGAAATGCGTGAAGAAGAAATGATGAAAGACATGAAGCAGAAGGAGCAATATAGAATTGCATTACAGGATCAAATGATATACAAAGAAAAATGTAGGAGATATGAATATGAAGAGTTCCTTAGAGATAAGAAACTTAGGGATGACTATATTAAGAGAATGAATGATGAAGCAGAAAGGTAAACTTGTAAAGTTAACAATTTGTTATCATTTTATACACTTCTGGAAAACTTTGTAGACAAATTCAAGAGGAAAAGTGTAGGAAACAGAAATTTAGAGAAGAAGAAATGAAGTTTAAAGAAGCTCAACAAGTATGGAAAGATAAGAAAAGGAGAGAACTTGAAGAGGAAGACAAGAACATACAGGATTATCTCTCAACAAAAACCAGTGATGCAAAAGAAAGGTAACATTATTATTTAATTAATTTACCTGTTTGTAAAATTTATATTAAATTGATTGTTTCAGGAGAGAAGAACAGGAAAGAAAAGAAGCAGCCAAGAATGCAGTTATAGAAAGCATAGGGCAAAAATTGTATCAACTTCAGGTGAATCATAAAACATTAAATATTTAAAGACTTTAAAAACTTTTTTGACATTTTCTAGAAAACAAACCAAGAAAGACAAGAACTGATTCAGCAGTTAGCAGAACAGCAACAGAAAGAAAAAGAAGATGATCGATACAGAAGAGATATTGAGAAAATTGAAACACAAAAGATTAACACGCGAATTTGTCTATTCAAACAGATGCAAGAACATGAAGAAATTCGGCGAAAGGAAGAAGAAAACGACGCCAGATATCGAAAACAGGTACATTTCAGTTATTCATATATTTTTGTATCTACCACCATTATTAATTGATTAATTTTTGCAGATGGCAGAGAAAATGGCTGAAGATGAGCGTTTAGAACTGATGACTGCAGAAAGGAAGAAACGTCGAATGATTGAAATAAAGCATGAAGTGGAAGAAATGATAAAACAGAGGAGACAAAAGCGTGCTGAAGAAATACAACTGTTAATAAAATTACAAGAAGAAGAAATAAAAGCAGAAGAAGAAAGGTAACTAGGAATGCAAATTCCATGATTGCAAAACATATTAAATTAATTATTTTATCTATTAAAGTTCCGATTATGATTATACAACTATTAATTACAGGAAACGATTGGTGGAAGAAGAAAAACGAATAATGCTAAAGGAGCATGCGAGAAATATTATTGGGTTCATCCCATCCCGTATAGTCCATCCTGATGAATTACAGAAGCTTGCTTGTGAAGCTGAATGTGAAGAAAAAGAAAAATAAAAATTTATTTTGAAAATAACGCCTGCCAAATATTTTTTACCTATGACAATTTTTATAAATAAAAATTAAATTTTGAAGCTGGAAACTGTGTTTTATTTATGTATTTTCCAAATCACTTTTTAATATTGGGATTTAATAATAATCTAATAATCAGTCAATTTTACCAATTTTTGAAAGCACAAAAGCGAACAGTTATTGCTTACACAGAAAAAAGTCCTTTTTTCCAAATGACTTACACAAAGTAATTGAGATAGATTTATATCAAATTAACTAAGCCAGTCAGTGCCTGAAATAATTGAAATATGAAAGACTTTTACTAAGCCTTAAAAGTATTTACAATGTAATATGTAAAATATACATAATAACCTAAACACAGATGGAGCATATTAAGTAAGCTTTAACAAGTTAGAATTACGTAAAAATGTACGTAGAATCTCATGGTGCCAACGGTTTTCGAATGAGGTGTCAAATAGGCACATTCCGGCATTATCTTTTCTAAAATGTATACAATAACCTAAACATAGAAAAGCGCTCGTAAAATTGCTTGCAGATGGAGCATATTAAGTAAGCTTTAACAAGTCACAATTACGTAAAAATGTACCTAGAATCTCATGGTGCCAACGGTTTTCGAATGAGGTGTTAAATAGACACATTCCGGCAATATTTTTTCTAAAATGTATACAATAATCTAAACATAGAAAAGCGCTCGTAAAATTGCTTGGAGATGGAAGTGAAAGATATTTAATATACTTTGAGAAAAAAGGTAGTTACGTAGAATCTCATGGTGCCAACGGTTTTCGAATGAGGTGTCAAATAGGCACATTCCGGCATTATTTTTGCTAAAATGTATACAATAATCTAAACGAAGAAAAGCGCTCGTGAAATTGCTTGGAGATGGAGCATATTAAGTAAGCTTTAACAAGTTAGAATTACGTAAAAATGTACGTGGAATCTCATGGTGCCAACGGTTTTCGAATGAGGTGTCAAATAGGCACATTCCGGCATTATTTTTTCTAAAATGTATACAATAATCTAAACATAGAAAAGCGCTCGTAAAATTGCTTGGAGATGGAAGTGAAAGATATTTAATATACTTTGTAATAAATAAAAAAGAAAAGTGCTTTTAAGTCCTCCCGCGTCTTCTTTATCTATACAAATAATACTAATTGAATACTTTTGAATTGAATTTTATAAAGTAAATTCCAATAGAATTGTTAATATGTTTCTATACACTTTTTCTAAAGTCTGCCTCTGTTTTTAGTAAATGTCGTTAAAAATGAATGAACAGCTAAACGACAAGGTAAGCATTGTCCTAAAAATTGCGATAGTAGAGGATTTTGGCTCACATTTCGCTTGAAATCGTCATACGATATTTTACCATCGCGATCAAAGTCCATCTTCTTCTGCACAATTTCAATAAAGTCCTTAAATTTAAAACTTAAATTAAATTTGAACAAATCAATTGGTTCAATTTTTGTCTCACCCTCACTGCCTCCTCGCTATCATCATCAGCTGCAGGTGATATAACAGAATTTTTTAATGCATTAAACATTACATCGCGGCTAATATTGACATCAAAGCTTATAGTTGTGTAACACTAAAAGAATTCAAAATTTTCTTTTTTAATTTCGTTTAATATTTGTACGAAACGTTTGTTTACTTTATAGCAATGTTTCTGCTTTTCTTCAAGGGGTGCGCGTAAAAAAACTGCCAGCAATTTTACGAATTCTTCGATTGTAATGTGCTCGCCAATGGAAGTGAAAATTGACACACAAATGCGATCAACGCTTGACTCGTCCGTGATATCGAACGCACAGTGCAAGAGTTCGTGTATCTGTTTCTTTGTAACTGCGATTTGCGCGGCAGAACATTTTTGGATTTTGTAATACATTAAAAAAATACATTCCATCTCCTGCATTGAAAAGCGGTATTTTTTTGAAAGTTTCGCTATTGATTTTGAATGTTTTCGTTTAAACCTGATTTCTTCGCTCATACTAACAGTTTTCTCCAAATGGACTCCCACTGACGACATTGTGACTGTTGGAATTTTAGTTACAAAAAAAAAAGGAAAAAGAAGTTCAACTTTTCGGTCTGATTAAACCAACCCCTCTCATTCAAGCCCCAATATTTCAAACTGCATGAAATTATAAATATCTCTACGTCAAATTTGGCAACAGACAACTTGATTTTAGAATTAATTGTTTCGATTTCTTTTGTAAAGAAAAATAAATACTTATTTTATTATAGAATAAAATATATGAAACATAGTTAGTAGATAATAAAACGTAGTATAATTAATCGGTTAGAACAAGTAACAGCAAGTATACAAAAATCGATGTTTGAGATCAAAATCGGCCTCTGTTTTCTGTGATAGTGGTCAAGAACGAATGAGTCGCTAAACGTGAAGGAAGACAAGGTCCTAAAAATTCTAGTAACAGTGGATTATCGTGGACATTTTCCGAATATTCGTCAAACGAAATTTTTCCGTCTCTATCTATGTCCATTCTTTTTTGTATAACATCAATGAAATCCTAAAAGTTAAGTTATATCAAAATATTTATCAATATCAACGTTCGACTGTATGAGATTTTAATGTGGGCCTAACTCTTATTATATCCTCGGAATCTTCTTCTACATTCTTGCTTAAAACTGAACTTCTTAAATTGTCAAACATCACGTCCCTGCTAATCATACCGTCCAAACTTGTTTGTAGATAACACTAAAAAATTACCGACCTTATAAGTGAAAATGAGTACCTAGTTTATTTAAGGTACCTGATAACAATATTTAATTTTTTCCTCAAAAGTTCCCCTAACAAATATGGCCATTGCTTTCATAAACTCCTCTACTTTAACATAAGGCCCTATAGATCTTACAAGAGTTGTACTAGCTCTAAAAACAGATTGAGGATCCGTTAAATCGAAAGCGCTGTGAAGTAGTTCTTCCATTTGTATTTTCGTTAATCCTTTTTGGCCCTCGACGCCCGCTTTAATATGTTTGTAATAGATAATTAAAATATGCTCCATTTCTTCTTGTGTAAAAGGCAATTGTTTCGCTAACTTTCGCAAAAGTTTCGAATACTTTTGTTTAAACCGAATCTCCTCATTCATCCCCAAGGTTAGGTCCAAATGTACTCCTACCGTGCACATCGTAAACGGGTATTGATGACAAAATATACGAAATAAACGTTAATTAATAGAATAGGAACAAATCAAACTAAAAAATTCTTTCGAGTGCTAAACAAAACTTGACATATAAATACTTCAGTTACTAGGCATCCTATAATAATTTTTTATGTATTTTTTTAATTAACAGAAATTTATTGTTTATACTTATACGAAGATTATAAACGGAACATGATAGTAACCATACCTAAACAGAGAAGTGCGGATAGGTGCGAAACATTTAGAACAATTAGCTTAACTTCCTATGCATCAAAAATTTTAATTCGAATTGTACAGAGAATGGTGGCAAAAAGAGTGGATGATCTATTAGGGGAAGATCAATTTGGGTTCAAAAGAAATAGAGGTAGGTTGGTAGGACACCTTCTCAGGCATGAAGGTCTAGTCAGAGACATATTAGAGGCAGAAACAGGAGTTAGGAGGGGTAGAGGTAGACCTAGATTAGATTACT